CGGGAACAAGTTCAGGATTTTCTTCCTCATCTGACAGGCGGCAACCAAAGGGAAGTGGTAAATACGTTTTCGTCAATTATTTAAATGCTCCGTCAAATTCCCTATAAATTTGTTTTGTGTTACTGTGCAGAAATACGCTCTGATAACATCTGCCGACGGACCAGTATTTCATTTGAGGGCAATATATGTCGATCTTCTTTAGCTACAACCCTGTGACCTTACGTTTCCCCCGCGATGTGCAACAAACATTTTTCTGACTTATTAATACGACTTCAGCACTCTGTCTTTGTAGCATAAAAAAAACTAAATTTTTTCGCGCAAAATTACCAAAAAAAACATAAAAAACAACTGCTGCCTAGCAAAATATGCGAAGAAATATTGAAACGTTCACAGAAATTTGCAAAAGGTAACCAAAAAAATAGGGAAATGGAGAACTCGAGACTTTTCGAACACAAAGCTTGCTCGGGTACAAGTTTCAGACTTGCTAGCACATGTGGCTGTTTGTAACTGTTGAGAGGCAACTTGGTTCTGAAAACCTCAAAGTTAACCTCGTTCCCAGGGTCTCTCATCTTCCCGCCCCCTGGAGCGGGCGAGGAGATGAGGGACCCTGGGAACGAGGTTGCCTCAAGGTACGCTGCCTAGTCATTAGATCGTTAGTTCATGCACAGATGTTTGACCACTGTGTTGAGAGGCTTTACTTTGCTCTCGCCGATCTCATTGTGTGCGCTAAGTCGGATCCAGAAACGCGCTGGCTTTCCCTGCTCGGCTGCTAACCGCGAAGGGGCCACTAAATGTATCAAAATTTTAATCAAGATTTATTCCAATTTCCATTTATATATTCCAGAATATATGATTAAGGGAGTTGAAGTGTTTGATTTATTGAATCGTTTTTTTCCTTCACAGGTTCAAAACTGACCACCTCTAGATGGACTGGGGGCTCAGAATGGGGTGGAGACTCAGGAGATTGTTGGGGGTATTCAGGAGGTTCATGCTCAGTAGGTGGTGACTGTGGAGGCTTAGGGGGTGATGACGGTGGGGGTGGTGGCTGTGGAGATGGTGACTGACACACGTGATCATTGATCATTACTTCAAAGACAAACTAATTGTAATTGAGGAAAAGATTTTTTTTCGGATGATAGAGAGGAATCAGAGGGCCGGCCATTACTTATCGTCTGTGCTTCTGGAGGGGAGGATCGGAGCATTTTGGTCATGTCACAATAAAAGTTATATGATCCTTCCCCCTCCCCCCCGTAGGTAATATTCTATCGATTCCAGCCCCCCTCCTTCATTGGCATTCAATTCGGTATAGTCACCCGATTTTACTCTGTTGGTCACGAATGATTCCCTCTCCGTTCCCCCTGAAAACCATGCAACCCTCCCCATACCTTCGTCCCCCACCCTACTCCCCTCCAGTCGATAAATAATGATGGGCATTCATATTTGTAGTAGTTAAATTAAAATGTCTTTTGAAATACTTACTACTACAGTTCGTCATGCGCATGCATTTTTAAGTTATCGTAGTATTTTCCCGCCTATTATTGGTATTAAAATAGGAAAGTTATTTAATTAAGGATTCTGTTGTCTAGGTTTCTGATCACTTGTAATATAATTAAAGTTGACGTATGATAAATATAACTTTCAAGCGATTCAAAGAACTCGTTGTAAAAGTTATCGTTTACTGATTATGGTGTTAGNATTCAGGTTTCGATAAAATTCAAACCTGTACCTCTTAGATACGAGTTCCAAGTTTTTAAGTAAAATGCGACAACTACAGTGACACGGAAATCAAACACTGATATTCGGCGATATAGACAAATTTTACTTGCCTAACAGTCACGTTAATGATGCTGTATGATAAACGCTGAACACATATTTCCGCATTGATTTTCCTGCGTGGATTTTTCTTTCTTATGGAGGCGGTAACCCGTTGTTATCACCTTGAAGTACGATGACGATACATTTGCAGCATATTTCCAAATATAGATGAAAATTACAGATCTCTTTTTCTTTAGGGAAGAAGGGGAAGAGCTGTGTTGTAATGAATTAATAATTACCTCTGAGAGTCTTAAAGATTTGTCGGAGCGCAATTTTGATTCGACATATTAAACCTGATCTGTTGTTGATTTTCTTTTATATTTCAGGTCATGTCAGCATTCTCAATTTACCGAGAAAGTTATGCTATTAAAGTTTATAAGCAACTAGAGGAGAACACCGACGAACTCAGCCAAAATTTGCCTTTCGACAAAAAGCACTTTCTTGGTATTACTGCTTACTTCTGTCTTTTTCTATTAAATTTTTTATAAAAATTACATATGCTTAAGACAAAAATATCTGCAGTAGTGAAAGATTGTCTTGTTCCGTTAAATTTGTTAGAAAGAACACATGTGTAGGACAGAAAAATCTGCAGTTGAAAAACTATCCAAGGAATTGTGTGATTTGTTGCCACGATCTTCTGGGAATCTAGCGTCGTGGAAATCAGTGACGTTCAACCAGTATTCCAAGGAAACGAAAAGCATATTTTTTGCGAGAAGCACCTTCCCAGCCTAGCCTTTGTCACATTAAATCTGCCAGAAACTTCACCTCAGCCAGCAGGGGAACGGGTTTGACAAGTCTGAGGATGGCTCAGCCTGGCACTCCTCTAATTAAATTCGTGGGTATGCCAGGCTAAGAAATGATGTATATTTAATAGGTTCTTTCCTTATATGAAGCGGCCATCTCATGTCACCAACTTTACGTAAGTTGGATTAGACAAAAATTATAAAGTTTTCTAAAAAAGACAATGACTTTGAGCGACGCTATTCGGTTTTATGAAAGCGAGCCGTTAAACATTTTTGACAATGATACGGGATAGAAAACATTTGATTTGACCTTGCGATACGAATGACCAACTGGTTTCTTTCACAAATTAACATTGGAGATGAATTTGCATCCCTCTAGCAGCCATGGAATACCCTTAGTCTTTTATCTTTTATTGACTGATTGATTTTTTTTTTAATTGTCATCTCTAAAGCGATGATCAGACTGGGTTATGTCAACCTCGTATTTAAAGTCATCTCTCTGCTGGTTAACCTATTGCTTCTTGGATCCACTGGCTCAGTAAGTCCAACATTATGTTCCGCTCTTTAAAAAGAACGCAAATCTAGCATGTTACTCAAAATGATTGGAGAAGATTAAAAATTTTTCTAAGAAGTTCATAATAATTCTTCTTCTATAAAGTTTAAAACTAGTTGGCAGATTTTGCAAGGAAGCCGGCTTTTGTAAGACAGTATTGCATGAAGATTGGCTTTGTTTCACTGAACGTTTTCTGTTTTGCTTTTTGTTCTTACCTTGTCCGTTTATCAATAGTTCAGTCTGGTTCAATAAGCCACTGATTTTATAGCTGTGACTTTGTTTCCAAGCCTTTGATTTGGAGTGAGGCTAAAGGTGACCTTGTTGTGATAGAGACTAGTATCTAGTTAGCATGATTACAAAGTAATTTACATTTGAAAAGTAGCAATGTTGTTCATAACAAGGCCGCCCTTAGTTTCACACTTGTTCAAAGGCTAGGATACCAAGCATGCAACTGTAAAATGGATTATCGTATTTCTGTTACGGTGCTATCATCGTAATAACTATAATTATCAGTAATCATCCATATGATTTTATATTTAATGTCTTCATTTATTCATGTAGGCATTTATTCATTTGTCAGTTTACATGACTGATTGTCTTTCTTATCCGTCGCAGGGTGACAAGCGTTTGGCATATCCTTGGGTTGCGTGGAGCATATTCCAGCTCTTTTTCGATTTTGGAGTGATCATATTTTTCATTGGCGCCTTGAAAGGGGTAAACTGAAACAAAAATATGGATTAAGTGTCAGAAGAAATTTTCTCTACAAACATACTGAACATGAGTTTTGTTTTCTTCTGTGTTACAGTTTGCCGTCTTCTTACTTCTTTACGGCATTGGATGGTTCCTGTCGGTATGTTTGTTGCAGTCTTAGAAATTTTTATTTGAGTAACGATAGTAATCCAAAATTTCTAAGTTTTTTCCTCAGTTCGCTTTGTAATTGGTCTGGAAAACTTGCGCAACTCTCTCAACTGATCAGATGCAAAAAATAAAAATAATAACCTCCATGCACTTAATCGCATTTTCCTGCTCATTATGCAGTTTGGTTGTTTTTACTTTAAATTCTCTCTAGCTCTTTAAGGTATTTTCCTTTACTCTGGTTTTGGTTTTAAGACAATCTATTAAAGATCGCTCTATTCTCTTATTCCTCGATTAAATATCGACTCTTAAATTAATGATGGCCTAGGTCTTACCTTATTGCTTTATTTTTTTGTTTAAGATTTACTTCATCGCGGTGGTGCGTTGGTATATTGAAGAACTTAATGAACAAACAGAAAACGATGGACCAGAGCCACCTGGTGGAGAGTCCACCATTGAATTCCAGTCATCATCATTAGGTTTTCCTCGCTCTTCTGACAACCAGCGACCAAAGTCAAATGGTAATCACGTTTCCATTGTTTTAATGCTCCGTGGCCTTCGAAACCAAACTCGATAGGAATGTTTTTGTGTTACTTAGCAAATAAAACACTATGATAGGACCGGTCAGCGGTCAGGCGGACCGGTCAGGCGGACCGGTCAGCGGTCAGGCGGACCGGTCAGCATTTCACCAAGGGCAATGGTGGTTTAGGCCTGTCCCAATAGTGCTGGCAAAATTCCGGAAAGTAGCTGATTAGAATGCCAAGAAGTTGCTAAGAAACTGCCAAAAGTGAAGGTGTAGTGTGATCGTCCGGGTGAGTGTAGTCCTGAGAAGGACTGTTGTCGGTGGTAGTGACTGACGTTTCGACAACCTGTGCGGAAGTCATCATCAGAGTCAAGTGAATGATTGTTGTCAGTAGAATGTTGTCACATTCTACTGAAAACAACCATTCTACCTACTGACAAACTGCCAAAAATTCCAAAAAGTTGCTAGATTTCAAAATTTTCTCCCTAATTCTGTTGATTTTTTTTTATAAACGTTAATTGAGAGCTATATTTTTCGTTCTTCGCAATGATAAACTTAGCCTTAATTAAAGGGTTGCTTGCAAATAAAGATGACTTCTAACCATCAATTACCGTTCATGGAAAGTAAATTAACTTATTAAAAACTAGATCATTGGATAATGCAATTCAAGACTTTTTATTGGCTTAGCCATTATGG